TTATACCTACATATGTAGATCTTTACTAAAAACTTACTTCCGTAGAAGAAAGTTTTACCTATCTCCCCCTGAAATACTAAAAATTCCATTTTTTAACTATTAACTGCAGTGAAACCAAAAGCATTCTTCAAATTTTGGAAACGCAGAAATGGCTGGCTTCTTCTACCACGGCATACTATACTTGAACCTTAAAGAAGTCCGTTTTTTTCAAATTTTTTATACCGTTTTTCTTCTATACCGTACATTGTAGGAGCCTGGAATTTTAACAGCTTTTAGACACTAATAAATATTTTATTTCGTTACAAGAAATTTTTTTTTCATCTCCACCCCGTCTGAAGATATCGCCTCTTGAAATTTGTAAAATTTAAATTTTTGGCGCCTTATACTTCCGAAACCGTAAGCTAACGGTAAATTCCAGGACAATAAAAAATATAATTATTTTTCTTAAATCACGCAATTAATTCTCAAAATCTTGAATTATGTTAACCTCTATTTATAAATTAATTTTTTCTTTGTTTCAAAGACTGCATAAATCGTTTATCCTAAATATATGCAATCCTAGAAATAGTTTCGTATATGGATGAAAATAATTTTAATAGTATGGTTGGTATATCACAGATTGTTTTTAAAAGCAGTATTTTCAATTGTTGAAGAAAAAAGTGCTACAATACAAACCATTGGTTTGACCCAACTTTATATAAATAAAAGTCACGGCAATGGCAGAAGAAACGGGCGTAACTTCCCCTCTTAAATATTTGTGTACAAAAGCTTATTTAGATAAGAGTTTTACACACCTATATACCCTTAAATATTTCGTTTCGCATAAATTTCAAACTCCGAAAAATATAAAGTCACACTTGCCACCATTTCATTTTTTTAAAAGCTAATTGATTTTACAAACTTAATCACTGATAAACTTTTTATTGACACAAATTACATATATGTACATAAAATATTTTGTAATTATCTCTATACATTTTGTTACTCAAACAACACAATATTCTATATTCGAACAAAAACTCTCTAAATATTTAAACAAAAATAATATCTAATATTCAAATTTACTTTGATTTTAATAAAAGTTTCATAATTTTACTTACAATCATAAAGTTTCATAAATTACAAAAAAATTTTTCTATTTGTTTGACAAATTATTTAATTATTATGTACTTGTATATGGTGTATATATTATGTACACAATATTATGTATGTATTTTGCAAATATGTGTAGTAACCAAGAAATACTAAGTTTTTCCTTGGAGTATTTTATTTATTATATTATGTTCTCATTATTAATATATACTAGCACACTAATACTACCCACATAATATTAATGTACTCGTATATGTGTGTGCTAATTTAATGTACTGTTTAAAGCTAAATTCCCTTGAGGAAATAAAATGAACTAATGAATTATATGCGTAGTTGTAAACTTTACTTAAAAAAAAAGAAAAAAAAAATTTTAATCTGTAGAAAAAGTAAATGAAATCAAGTAAAAATGTTACAAACCTACACAGCATAATAACATACTTATACATACATGATTATATGAATATATAAATGAAACAAAAACTTTTTAAAAAAATATTGTATAAATGGAAAACCCGCGCTTTAAAACTTTTAATATGTAATTTTATAAATGTACATATGTATATACATAATTTTTTATTTATTTCAAAGCTATACAAAAAATCAAAGAAACCAAATCAAAGTAGAAGTGTTAAATATAAAAGTTGAAAATTGAAGGATCAAAAAGGAAAATTTTTAAGTTAAAATTAAATTTATTATATTTGCTAAAGCGAAAAATTTTCAAATATAAAATAACTTTTATTTTACTTCAAGTATATACTCGTATGCATTGATATTAATTTAAAAAAAAAAAGAAAAAAATCATTCGTATTAAGCATTAAGCCAAATTGAAACAATATTACATTCGTATAATATTAAAAAAAAGAGAACAAATAAAATATTTTATAACACGAGTACATTCTGTTCCGATTAAAAGTATATCATTATATATAACAATATAATACATGGTGATCAAATGTCAAAGGAATATAATCATAATATTGAAGCTAGTAAAATATCAATACAATATTTAAGAATACAGTTATCACAATGTTAACAATGAAAATAGTTCAATTTGGAAATGCAAAACTGAACTTCATCTGAGGCAGTTTAATAAATATAAAATATGCCTCTGCAGAGTGTTATAGATGAAAACTGTTATACACGAAAACTGTTATACATAAAAACTGTTATACACATAAAGTGTTATACTTTTCTTGCATTTTCTTAGACTATACTAGTAAAAACCTATCTAATTTTTTTGTCACAATTTACTAGCGCTGCTAGAAGTACCTGTCCTTTTTCACAAACCGAAAGTGGTTGCTGTTATATATTATATAATATGAAAGATATTTGGTGTTTATTTTCCATATACATACAAGAGTATTTAAACGAACTAGATCGATATGATATCGGGAACTTTAACTGCCCCTTTGTAGGGAGCCAATATACTATTAGTAATTCATTGCTACATTTATGGATTTAAAATTAATTTTATATTTCCTGCTGCTTGTTCTTTTTTCTTCAGGTACACCTTTACTCCGACACAACCATAAAAGCAGTTTCCATTTGCAAAGTAATATTCAATAATATGAATCGAAAGCAGAACATTTGAAAAATTTTTTTTATCTTTGTATTCACACACCATTACGAGACATTGTTAAAGTTGCATTATTCTATGTGGTTTTTTTTAAGTGACAAAAAACTTGTGACAAATACATGCAAAACTTTTTATAAATTGAAACAAAAATTATTTTGATTCAAAGTTTTCATTATTTAAACTTGAATCGTATTTTCCTGAAATAGTGCAAAAAATAAATTATTTTTGAAAACTGAGTACCTATAGGTGTGTTATTGTTTACACAAAAAAAACTATTTAAGAATATGAGAAAATATTTATTAAAAATTAAGTAAAAAATTATTTTACCACAACTCATAATTTTTGAATTGAAAAAAAATTGTTATACGAGTATTAAAATTTTAATGTCTTTTTTTTTCAATGAAAAAAGAAAAATAGGTTTTTTTTCATATTGTTAATGAATTCATTCCATCAGGCAGGATCATGCCACGTTACAAAACCACAATTAATTGAACAAAGTGTTTTACAAATGAAATTTTGGTGTGTGATTTTTTTTACACAAATCTGATATAAAATTCATGAAATGGAACGAATATTTTATATAACTATATTTATAAACATTAGCATTGCTTGATAATTTTTGATAATTTTTTAAAAAGATTTCCAGCAAGCTTAGCTTTTCTGTCATTTTTTCTATATTATAAACAAAAATAATACATAATATTGTTTACCAAAATAGTTTCTAATACCTAAAGGGAATGTACCAGCATTTCCTATATTTTAGTTTTTTAATTAACTAGAAATGCATAAACGATAATATACAAATTACACTTTATATGCAATGCAAATACACACCTGTTGTAGCTAAGAAGCTTTTCTTAAATAAAGTGTTTACGAATGTTAAACAAAAAAACAAAATTACCAAATCATATTTCTGGTTAAAAATATTAATAAAAGGTATTATAATTTTTATCAGTTTTCCATATAAAAACTTTAATGTGTTTATGAGGTTTTAAAAATTTAAAACAACAATTAAAAATATTTTAATTATGAGTAGGAACAATATATATACATATATATACTATTTAATTAGATTAACATAAAAGCGCCCAATAAAAAAACCCGAAGCTGAATCATATTACGTTGAAATCAAATTATGTTGAAGAGGCCCAAGTTTTATAATTTTGGGGATTTTTTTCTGCGGTTTCTTTAAAAACGGTAACATCGAAAAATATATTATATATATGTATTTATTATAATTATGTATTGCCGTAGGAACACCATAATGATAAATACATCAACTTAAGTAATTTGACTTCACCCAAATTTGAGTAAAAAGTCCGTAAATATTGAATGTTGTAATATAGAATGAATACAAACTATTAAAGGAACGAAAAGTTATTTGTAATTACATACCTTTCAGAAAGCTCATTTTGAAGTAAGAACCATAATTGAACATTACCCAAAATGCTAAAGAATTTTTCAAATTATATTCCAAAAAATAATTTGAAATCAAGGCATTTAAAGCCCTCATACCGTACAAAACTATCTATCGATAATGAACCCGATATTTTTAATAGAATAGAGTTTCTCATAACACTATATACATATAAATAATATTTTGATTAAAAATTATTATTAAGAAATTGATAACAAAATAATTAAAAAATAAAATCAATTCTATTGTAATAAAAGGTACCGACCAATTTCAATTTAAAAAAAATAAATTCCAAAACTCTAAAAATTAAATTTCAACAACTTAAAACTGTTAAAAGCTTTCTAATTCCAAACAAAACAATTTAACTATCTCTTTAGTCGTTGATATTGGGGAAATACTAAATTTTTCACTCATATAAAATTATGACGTTCCTATATTGTTCAAAGACTACCTTAACGTAATAAAAAAAACAAAATATTTCCTTAAGAGTCCCCTATAAATAAATAAATAAATTAAATAAGCGTTATAAGTGTTATACTTAACGAAATTAATTTAATTATAATTATTATTTCTATATCAATTTATAATCAGAGAATAAAGAGAAAAAAAATCACCAATTTATAATTTCATTTTTCTTATCAGTGTTATTTATAAAAGGCACTTGAAATTTTTCAATATCATTTTTTATTCAAAAATAGTGAGCGCGACTCTATATCTGATAGCATTTTAATTATTAAATAATTTTTACATTTAAAAAATTTTTATAACAAATTTTTCTATTCTCATAAATAATTTTATATATATATACAGTACATTTTCTTTATATATAAGTATAAATAAAATTAATGAAAATTTTAAAAATTCATGATTATTTGAAACGTGAACCTGAATAGATTATTACCTACATTAATCGGTTGGCAAAAAAAAAAAAACAGTAAACACGGAAAAAGTAAAAGTTTAAAATAAAAAAAAAATTTTAAACCCGTATTTCTATTAAAAAATTTTTTAAAATCGTAATTCCCGCCGTATTACCGTACTTGTAATACTTAATTATCATTTGATCATACAGAAAAAAAAAACACAACATGGCAATTAAAAATTTAAGGTCATTGCACGTTTGCATTGCAATCGTAATTTTAACCAGTGAGTAATTATTTTTTTTTTGTTATTATTTTTATTTTTCTTTACTTGAAATTAGTTACAGATTAATTAATTACTTTAAATGTGATTTTATTAATCATAATTAGTGTAATCTTTAACATGTAATCATTAATTTAAGATCTCTCTGATTAAGCTAACATTATGAGTGAGTGTAAATATTTTACTTTTGAATTTTATCAGTGAAAATAGTTTTTTTAATGTAATAAAAATCGAAACGTGCAATATTAAAGCTCAAAGTGCAATAATTTTTATATAAAGTGATGTTAATTTTTAATTTTCATAAAAATTTTAGTTGCGATGACAGGCATTCTAATAAAATTCTTAAATATTATTTTATATAATGGAGTTAACCATAATATTTATAACTATTATAGGACTCTTATATTTGTGATATTGCCTCATTATTGCATTTTTCTTAAAAGTTCAAAAAAGTCTGATTATGAGCTTAATATTACTTAAGTATTCTAAATAACTTCAAAAAAATAATATTGCTTATGACTCAAATTGCAAATCTCTAATATGTCAACAGATACAAATTATTCTCGACAACATTGTGTACATACATTAATTAACCTTAACATCACCTATATACATTACATTTTTATAAAAACACTCGATTTGTTGACTATTCATTGCAAATAACTAATTTAATTATTAAATATTAAAAATTAAGTATTAAATTTAATAATTAAACCGGATTTGAGTGTCACATTTGATTCCTTTATATGAAATGCAACTTTATAAAATACAAGTATTACAATGCAGCTTCTTTACTTAATGTAATTAAATGAGGGGAATCACTTCATTTAATAAGATATTAATAATTAATATTTACCGGTCGTTTATTACTAAAATCAGACTAGATCGTGAAAAACAATATTTGTTTTTGGTATTTGTAATTTAACATACTATGATATTTTAATTGTACATATTGCATAATATTTAACTTTTTAACTTTACTTTACCGGTATAACAGTACTATTAACAAAAATTAAAGAAAAAAAAATCGGATGTGGTCAGCACATAGCCGACCGCTATTTATATTGCCTAGTTTAGTGAAAGTGTTACAGAAGATTATGAACACGCATTTTAAACAATTCCTTTCAATTTTAAAAGTGTTAGCAAGCTTTTAGTTAACATACCTAGAAAAGTTTAAATTTGGCTCTTAAAATTTAGCTTTGTTAGCAGTTAGTTTCGGTTTTTTTAACAGCCAGAACTCAAATATCAAATTTCAAGAAATTCTATCAATCCGTTCCGTAGATATGATAAAAAATGTAAAATCGGCCCCCAGTTCAATTTTCGAGCCCTGCTCTTTCCAAAAAATTTACAAGTTCATTCTTATAATACATTGAATTTAAATATTAAGTTTCAAGGAAATTGGTTTATTATTTCTCTTTATATACGCAAAAATGTATATTTGGCCCGTATAAGAAGGTCCAATCTCCGACGTTTGATATATCCCAAAAGTGCATAGCTAAAATAAGCTCACACAAAATTTTTTAAAAATTGATTCAGCCGAACTTGAGATACACGCATGACCGGCAGACCGACGGACCGACATCTCTCTAAAAGTAGTTTATTTACGCTTCCCTATTATGGAGACGTGCATTCCCACCAAAAATCGACATCCAAAATTTCGTACCATCACATCACCTACCTTTTTGTTTATACAATGCGGTCGGTAATAAAAATATTCCCTCTGTTTTGAATTAAAAATAGGCTATAAGGAAAACTGGAAATAATATAAGAGTAAAAATCATTAAGCACTGGTAACTCTCTAAAATGTGAGTCTAGTAATGAAATTAATATGAGCAATGAAGTATTAAATTTGTTGCTTAATTTAGTAGAAAATTTGATTGTAAACTTTAAATACCAATAATTCAGGCTTTCAGTTTTCTTTCATGTGCTGTAAACCCTAAAATTTTCAAAGCCCAATGTGATAATTAATTAAATAAAAATATTACACTAATCATAAATAAGACTCTTTTTCTTATAATTCAAAAATTCATTCATACCTCATTCAATTTCATATAACAGTTTTGGTTTCAATTTCATATAACAATAAAATTTTTCTTATTTCGTATGCAGTAATTTCAGCAACCTTTTGAAATTAAATTTCTCACGAAACAGTGCCTTTAATTTTTCGTAAACCTTTAATTCTTATTAAAGCTGTTGATAAAAATTTAATTGGTCAAGTCACGATTGTAGATAATTTTTTTCAATTTCAAGTTTTATATTTAAGCATAGAGATTAACACCTTCTTTTAATAATAATAATTAACTAAATTGACACTTTAATTGACAAACACTAAAAAATCCAAAAACCTTGTATACCTACCACAAGAATACATAGAGTATTGTGCGTCATGTACACCTGTTGTTTAAAATTATTAAATGTTCTGTTATTAAACTGTCAGTGTAATTAAGAACAACTGATAAGCGTTAACAAAACAACTGAATTTATTGCTAAAGTTATACGACGATGTTGAGGAAACAAAAATTAAATTCTGATTCATTTGTATAGCATAAATTTTGAAAAATTGCATATACCGTAGGATAGATCTATGTAATTTATGTATATCAACAAATTCCTATGGTATATACATACATATACAACAAATTTATGTACAATGGAAAATTTACTAGGAAATTAATACTCATAGGTACATAATAATATCTTACAAGTGGATATAATAATGTAGGCAGAATGAAATATTTTAATATGGAAATATTTTTGATACAGGAAAGCCGGGGAATTATATTTTTTGTTTAAAAAAATTTTTGAATTATTCATGCCTAAAATATTTATATTGTATATATGTATGTATTTTTATGTAAGTACAATATTATGTGCCTGGTACATACTTGTACATGAGAAAATGAAACTAGTAGACACAAAATTGATGAGGGAATTTCCCTTGCGAATATTTTATGCTACAATAAGTTATCGTGTTAAGGTCAACAACGTGGTAAGAATAACATTGTATTTAAAGTACTGTTATTAATAATTCATTAAAAATACAGAGTAAAATAGGTGCTTTTGTATACTGTTATGACATTTAGTGTTGTAATTGTATATTGTATTTCTACCACATGTACATCATGTAATAGAATTTAATTTATTCACGATTTACAACGCACACAATACCTTTAGTACAATATTGCTACTTGGAAACAATATTTTGTAAGCTTTCAATCAAAATTGTTGCTTGGACCCCGAAAATATTTAAAAAAAAAATTTATTATAATTTAAAATTCAAGAGTTTTTTTTAAAAGATTTTAAAATTTAAGTAATCTTATGATTATTTAAACAATATGCTTTTGAATTGAATTAATTGTTTATTCAGAAATTTGTTCAAATTTGGCCTAATATTATGAATAGCAAACAATTTGGAAAGATTTAATTGTAATTTTTGTGAAAGAAACCTTCTCAAATCTTAGGATAGTATTAATGAGGAAAAAACTTAAAATCATCAACAAACTCGCTTTAAACTACTTAATCATAAAATTGAATAAATCATTTTCGAGCCAATATCTCGAATCTTAGTGCTTACAATACGCTTCTTAAAAAGAAAAAAAAAATACTTAAATAAAAAAACTAATAATTTTCCTTTTAATTTAAATTTTAGATGCTGTTTCTAGTTTAGAGATCATTACACGTAGCCAATGGCAAGCAAAACCACCAAAAGGTCGTACTGTAATACCACACCAATTAACACATGTAATTATACATCATACGTATATACCAGAGGCTTGTTTTACAACAAATGATTGCATAAAAGCAATGCAATGGATACAAGATTTTCATCAAAATGATCGTCAATGGGATGATATAGGATATAGTTTTGCAATTGGTGGTGATGGTAAAATATATGAAGGTAGAGGTTTTAATGTTGTTGGAGCTCATGCACCTGGCTATAATGATAAAAGTATTGGAATCGTTTTTATTGGTGATTACAGAAGTAAGTGCTCAGAAGTTTTTTAATTTTTGAAAATATTTTTTACATAAGTTTAAATTCCTTTTTTAGCAATATTACCTTCACCAAAAATGTTAGAAGCTGCACACAAATTAATTCAATATGGTATTTTTAAAGGAAATTTAAAATGGGATTATATTTTACATGGTCATCGACAAGTTAGGGATACTGAATGTCCCGGTGATGCTTTATATAATGAAATTAAAACTTGGCCACATTTTGTTGAAATTCACAAAAGATAATGTAGACTATTTAATATTTTACATTCTTAACTTAAGGCATTTTGTTTAATAAAAAAGACTTTAATGGCTGTACCTGTATAGATTATTAATGTTAAATTAAATTATTTAATGAAATAGAACAAATTACAAGGCATTTTTATTTTATAAATTAAGAATCAGAATAATTTTAGAATAATACTCAAATGTTCATTCCATAAAAACAGGATATTTTTTAAAGTAAAAATTTCCAATTTAAAATACAAACAAATTTGATGAAATTCTGGAACAAAAAAATAATTTTTGTTTATCAGGAATTTTGTAAATTTCATTGAAATTCATTAAAATGTAATTGAATTTTTTACTGCCGGAATATTTGTTTTTTGTAACTCAATGAATTTTCATTTCGAATCATTTGATATTTAATTGATTCTTTTAATTTTTTAATTTTATAATTTTCCCTGTACATAACGTAATGTATACAAGTATGTATGAGTGTATTTATTACCAGTATAATGTGTTTATTAATTTCAATATCTTGTTTATTTAAGTTGAAAATTTTTTTTTACTCATTAATTTAATTTTAATATTTTAATAATTTTTTGCTTCCCTACTACTCGTATTGTTTCTTTTGTAAACATAACATCGTTCAATGAACTATTGAGGTAAAATAAATTGCCTAAATATAGGAGGTATTATGCCTATATATTATATAAGGTATATATTGTTTATTTAATACAAAGTTCAACAAAATTTCAGGAATAAAAGTGTAGGATTTTAAATTATTTGTATTGTAAGAAATTTTTTAACTGAGGTTGTAGCGAACCAAATAAATGAAAGAAGTGTTCCAATAAGATAATCAATTATTTATATTTTGAATCGTTATCAATTCTTTAGTAGAGCAAAAAACTCAACTTCCAAAATATAGTAACGCGGTATTAAAACCCAGATAAGTAAAATTGCTAAATTTTTAATTATGGTATACTGCATTTTAAATTATTTGGGAACTCCAACATTCAAATGAAACTTTTATCTTATAGGAACTGAGTTTTCGATTTTATAATGATAAAAACGTTAATTCAATAATTACAACTCATCTCTTCATTTTAGTCACATAAGATTTAACTACATAATAGATACTAGGTTAAGGTTGTATACACAAGCAAAAGTTGCTAATCTATCTTTACATATTACGTTTGGAGAGCTCGAATCTTATTCATAAATTGAAAAATCCAAAAACCCTTCAATAAAAAAATTATTTTTATTCACAATCAAATGTTACATTCAGTCCGTAATTTTTGAATTCCAAGATGGACCAATAATAATACTAAAGATTAAATTAAATGAAAATTTTCTTATGAAATTTAAATTTAAAAGTTATAGAAAAAGAAAATATAAATTTAATTATTTCCGTTTGACTAGTTCGGAAATTTTTTTTTTTTTTTTTGAATTTTTGAATTTTGTAATTTTTATTTATTTTCCAAATTATCAATTTTATTAGAAAAGAATTTTTTTTCCGAAAAAAATTTCGATAAAGAAAACTTTCCAGTCTCAATTGTATTATAGATTGCTCGTATATTTGAAGAAAGTTGAACTTTAAAATTTATAAATTGATTTCATTCCGAACCTCTTTTCATTTGTGTTTTTTAACAGAAAAAAAGGAAAATTCTATCTTTATTTTGAAAGGAGAGTGGCATGTTAAAACTTTTTAATAAATTTTAAGTAAGAATAAAATTTTCCTTTTTTGTTTTGTGTTTTGTATCTTTTGGGAGGCCATTGAACTATAAGATGCCTATGCTTGCTGTACAAGAATATTTGAAAATTTTATTTCAATTCATTCACATTCAACATTCAAATTAAAGTTCAATATATGAAAAACACATTCAAATTAAAGTTCAATATATGTTTGTACATAGTAATGTACATTATGTGTGTTTTTTTTTGAAAATTTCTATTAAAATTAGAGACTTGTCTTCAATGACGTACCTATTCTTGAAATTCTTATTGTAAGATAAAATTTCCCAGATTTCCAAGCGTTTGGAGCTTGAAGTGTTTTCTATTAAAACACCGGTTTAAATAGCTGTAACACAACCCTAAAAATAATTCAGTAATGTCTTATTTACTGCAAGTTGCACATAGACACTAAATTTTGCCTTGTTTGTGGAGAGTAAAGAACATGTCTATTCTAACAAAATTTATTCTAATTGTAAAAGTTTTTTCGATAGGTGCCATATAACTCTCAAAATAATTTAATTTCATCTCGGAAGCTGTATGGCTTACAGTGTTGAAATTTTATCAAAAATAATTTCAGTAATTAGGCCGATATTCATAAAAAATTTTGTTTTTGTTGCATAAGTTCTTACAGTAGCTGCTATAGGACTTCAAAAATATCTTGTTCATATTACACTGTTAATTTCACATAAATGCATTTTGTAACAGAGCTACATTTGCAATAAGGTAAATTGATTTGATAAAATAATTTCGATTACTGCCACATAAATCCAAAAATTAAATTTAAAACAATTTTTAATTCTATACAATTTTCCAACCTCACCAACACTATAGTTCAATATTACGGCAATTATTAAAATTCAAACAGATCTTAGGAAAAATTTACACGTGTTGCATAGAATTAACGTAATCGGCACCTATCTTTTCTCGCCCTTTAATTCGAATTGCCTTTTCATTTTCTCGGCATACAAAACAATTTTATGAGTAGATTATATTAGTATTTGAATCATGCATTTATATGCCTTTCTTTTGATTTGTCATAAAAACTTGTAAATTAATTTTGGACCAGACGTTCTTCACTTACTTTCAATTTATAAAACAATGGTAGTCTAATATTTCTTTAGAAAACGAAAAACGTATTCAATTTAAAATTTTACTTTCAATGTTATCAAAAAATTTTCTAAAAAATTTTAAGAATTTTTAAATATAAACACACTCACGTATTATTCAAAATTCAATGCCACAGCATTGTAACAAATCCCAAAGTATTGTAACACAAATGGAAGAACTCTTGTTAAAATTCATAATATTTAATAAAAATGTACACTTAAAATACAATTTCACTTTGTTGTGTAAAAGTAATACAATAAAATTTTCAAGTTTTTTTTTTTTAGATTAAATATTTTCTCATATAAAGGTTTTTATAACATTGAACACTTTCTTGTCTTGCTTCAATTTGTAATTTGTTCAATCATTTTCCATCTGATTGTGATAACCATAAGCTTTCCAATAACAATAATAAAAGAAAAAACAACTAAAAATTTCACCATAAAATCAATAACAAAAATTTACATTTTAAAATAAATTGTACTACAAAATGACTATACGTAACCTTCATTCGGTTCCTAAGAAAATAAATACACTGAATAACAAAAAATAATAGTAAAACACAAAAAAAAATAACATTCAAACAACAAAGAAAATACAAAATATTAAATAAACAAATATAAACTGACGACAGATGTCTCTTATTTATAAAAAAAAAACAATCATGTACAGTTAGCTATACAATGAGCATAAAAGGGATGAAAGTAAATACAAAATACACTCAACACAACACACAAACATTAGAGAGATAAGTAAAGAAGCCAAAAACAAACAAAACGGTAAAAATCAAAATGAAAACAGATGACAAATTTAAAAATCATCAGCACGTGGATTGAATTTTTTAGTTTGTTTCTTTTACACTCGTCAGTCGTCATATACACTTTGGCTCTACATTAAAAATGGTAAACTAAAAATCTCACCTTGATTTTCTTGCATTATTTTGAGTGACACCTAAAAAAGAAAAGAGAAGAGAAAACTTTTAGTTTTTTTTTTTTTGTTTTTTTTATCTTAGCTCAGCTATAAATTCAAATAAAGTGTAATATGAAAGATAAGTTCTTCTTACATTGTCATCGTCATTGTGATTGATTTGTTCTTTTATTTTATATTTGCAGTATAAGAGATGTCTATTAAAAATCAATAAAACACCAAGTATACACTAACATACTTAAATAAATGTATTTATGTTTCAGTAACATTCTAAAAGGTATTTTGTAAGAAATGCGGTAATCCACTTTTAGTTTACAATTTTGTCTGCAGCATGAACACAACATTGAAGATTTATTTATTAAAAGAAACTTGCTTTGGTTAGACAGAACTTGCCAATGGGTTTATTTTAAAATGAGTGTTGCCATATCAGTACACGCTTATTTTTCAACACTTTTTTAAAAATATTTATTGTACGGAGTTACCATATTATTTGAAAATTGGTTATCGATTCGATCGTACATAATAAGCATACATATGTTGTTTTATCACGAATTTGTATTCGGCGGAGTGGCTGTTTTTGCCTTAATAGATTGAATTATAAACTAAATTTCTGTATAAGAAATCGGTTTGTCTGGATGTAATGTGTAAAAACTCTGTAGGTAATTTTCTGGAACGAAAATAATGTGTTCTTACAAAAGCTCTTACAAAAACCTTACATTTGGAATATTCAAAATTTTCAAAAGGGAATTTGAATGGTGTATAGCTCTTGACTCTTAACAAAATTTAAATATAATTATAATAGCAAAATAAAACCGGGCCAGCTGGCCACAGTAAATTTAAATTTTTATCAGAAAATTAATTTGGCCGAATTATCAATTAACTAAGATCTGCATCCCAACCAATTTCATTGTAAATTAAATTATCCGTCTTCGTTAATCAAAATTTTGATTTCATCCTTCTCTTAAATATTTTTTGTTTCTTTTTAATAATGTTCAACAATTTAATATGATTTTCAAAATAAAAAATGCTACGAAATCAAAACTCATTTAATCATAAAATTATTGTATTCCGAGTGTCAAATATTCGGCTTTTCAACAAGACTATAGTCTTGTTGAAAGCTATAAAAATTTTGAGTAATATATTCAAAAAAATTTAAAATATTTTTAAATATCTTTTAAAGTAATCAAGTACCCTTTAATTCTGTATACATTAAAAAATGTGTGTATGTAAAAATGTATATGTATATTTTATATATATAAAATATTTAATACAGGATTTAACATTTTTTTCAAATATCTAAGTAGTAATAAAAATAACTAGACATTTTTGGCAACGCGTGTTGAATAA